GTAATAAATGTAGTGGGAGAACGCGAGCTAGAATAAAGAAAGAGCCCTTGCAAGCATCTTAGCGCTACCGTGGTTACCACTAAAAACAACGATATTGCTTTGTCGCACGCGTCTCACGCCTTGGCAGGGCCGTACGCGCCTAGATGCTTCGCCCTACTCACTCGTTGCGTGGGATACGCAACACATATAAAGAATACATTATTACGGAAACAAGATGTTATAAATTTCACTTAAAAAATTAAATGAATCTATAAGTTACATCTACCCTCTCTATTTTAGTATAAATAATAATTAAAAAATATTTGAAATATATCAAATCACATTAATAATACGTTATTATAGAAACGAGAAAAACAAATTTAGTGTCGAGAAATAAATGATAACAGTTGCTCCTACCCCTTACGTTCACAAAAAGTAATTGAAAAATATTTGAAATAAACTAAATTAAACGTATAAAGAATACATTATTACGGAAGCAAGGTTTATTAATTTCACTTCAAGAAATAAAATAAATCTATAAGTTACATTTACCCTCCCTACTTTAGTATAAACTAATTGAAAAATATTTTAAATATACTAAATTACGTATAAAGAATACATTATTACGGAAGCAAGGTTTAATAAATTTCACTTCAAGAAATAAAATAAATCTATGAGTTACACCTACCTCTCTCTACTTTAGCATAAATAGTAATTGAAAAATATTTGAAATATACCAAATCACATTAATAATACGTTATTAAAGAAACGAGAAAAACAAATTTAGTGTCAAGAAATAAATGATAAAAGTTGGTATCCCTTACATTAACGAAAAGTAATTGAAAAATGTTTCAAATATACTAAATTACATATTAAGAATATATATAATTACAAAAACAAGAGGATAATATAAATTACGTGTCAAAAAATAAAATTAATCTAAAACTTACACTCAACCTCTACTTTAGCATAAATAGTAATGGAAAAATATTTGAAATATACCAAATCACATTAATAATACGTTATTATAGAAACGAAAATAAATTCCGTGTCAAAAATAAAGTTAAATTAAATATTACTTCTACCACACGTACGTTAACGTAAAATAATTGACAAATATTGGAAATATACTAAATTACGTATTAATAATACGTTATTACACAAAGAAAAAAAGATAATAAATTTCGTGTCAAGAAATAAAGTTAATCAAAAAGTTACATGTACCCTCTACGTTAGCATAAAATAATTGAAAAATATTTGAAATATACTAAATTACATACTAACAATATATAATTACAGAAACAGAAAGATAATATAAATTTCGTGTCAAAAATAAAATTCAANAAATATTTGAAATATACTAAATTACATACTAACAATATATAATTACAGAAACAGAAAGATAATATAAATTTCGTGTCAAAAATAAAATTCAAATTAATGTTACCCTTACCACAGCTACGTTAACGTAAAGTAGTTGACAAATATTTGAAATATACTAAATTACGTATTAAAAATACGTTATTACACAAAGAAAAAAGTTAATAAATTTCGTGTCGAGAAATAAAGTTAATTTAAAAGAGAAAGAGAGAGAGAGAAAAAGATTCGTAGATGAATATTCTTCTTTGATCTTTTCTCTTTGCCTTTATCACTGTTTATCCATTTCTCAATCCCTTCTTTTTTCTGAGATTCTATTTTCTATTTTCTCTCTCTCTCTCTCTGAGTTAAAAATTTGTCAAGAAGAAGTAAAAGAAGAAGATAAAGAATAAAAAAAAACGTCTACGAAGTATCTTTTTATTTTTACGTTCACAGACTCGGAATACGAAGAGGAACAAACGCCAAGATATAGGCCGGACTCTTTGGCAAGTCTCTGTCGTGCAACAAGATTCACAGAGGCCGAGCTCAAGAGGATATATCGTGGCTTCAAGGCCGAATGCCCCACGGGAGTCGTCAGAGAGGAAACTTTCAAGTGCATCTACTCGCAATTCTTTCCGCAAGGAGGTGAGTAGTAGTTATCTTGTTGAGCCTTTTTTCTCTTTTAAGCCGGCTTCTTCCATTTTACTTATCTCGGGTTTAAAGTTAATCGCCTTTGTCAGCTAAAATCGATATCACAAATATATTTCTATTAGTTTGTAACAAGTTTATAACTTTAAATAACTCGTTTCATCACAGGATACTCATTTTAAGATTGAACGTATTTATCTAATATCTTAACATTGTTATAATGTTAAGCAATAACAAATTCGGTTATTCGGTATATTATTTGATTCAACAAATATCGTATCAATTCTACTTAAAATTAGTGCCTAAAAAATTCCTATTCTTCTTCACGTATTGTGAATACATAAATATATTCTGTTAGTTTGTAACAAGTTTATAACTTTAAATAACTAGTTTCATCACAGGATACTCATT